ATCTGGCTGGGCGCATGTCACCAGTCATTGAGGAACCTTGTCACCCAGTGGGAGCTCTGATAAGAGGGCAAGCTGTTGCAAAACCTTTTGCCCCATTACTGGAAAATGGGGCCAATGTACTCCTCACATGATAACCACTACAGCAGATATAGTAGTTTTTGATGCCTGGAGTAGCCCTTTTAGTTTGTGAAATGATCATATTGTGAATGATCATATATATATGCACTTGGAAAAAGATCATTTAATGGTCGAATATATTTTGTTTGGTTTATTTTTTCCCAATACAATATTTTGGATTCATGTCACCTGTTATTCTATATTACATCTGAGAGTATACCTGGGGGATAAAATCAAGAAACCATCAAATATGCCTAACAGGAGCCCTGACCATCTGAGCCATCAGGCATTGCTTATTGCAGATGATCAGCTGATGGAGCACTGACTTTCTTGCGGCAGTAATGGGGCTGGAAAGTTTGGAAATCAGGCTTTGCTTATTGCAGATGATCAGCTGATGGAGCACTGACTTTCTTGCAGCAGTAATGGGGCTGGAAAGTTTGGAAATCAGGCATTGCTTATTGCAGATGATCAGCTGATGGAGCACTGACTTTCTTGCAGCAGTAATATGGCTGGAAAGTTTGGTTTGATGTGCTGATGGAGCACTGGAAAACTGTTTTGGAAACAGTTTACCAGGAGTTGGAGCCCAGTTGCAGGAGATGGCACAAGGAGGAGGCAAAATCCCAAAACACGGTACATATAAAGGGGTAATCCAACGGCAGGGTCAGACAAGAAGCAGAAGTCAGGGCTGGCAGCAGAGAAACGTAGTCAGTAAAGCAGGCAGAGGTCAGAGTCCAGGAAATCAGTCAGTAGCGAAGCAGAGATCCGGCAGGAAACACCAAACATGCAAAATGACCAGATCATAGGTTTCAGGAAAGGGCTGGCTTTTACAGCCTGCAAAATAAATGCAGCTGACCCTAATTGGAAAAAAGGGTTGCAGGTGGATCAGTACTGCTTAATCCAGACAAGAGGTCAGAAAGCAGAATAAGGGAGAGAGAAAATGACAGCACGGCAGAGAACCTGACTGGGATGCTGGAGCTGTGCGTTCAAACCCAGCCAGGTTTCTTAAAGGGGCAGCCACACCTTGCTGTCTGCAGGGTTCGGGCTGGCACGAGTTTCTTACAGCAGTAATAGGGCTGGAAAGTTTGGAAATCAGGCATTGCTTATTGCAGATGATCAGCTGATGGAGCACTGACTTTCTTGCGGCAGTAATGGGGCTGGAAAGCTTGTAAATCAGGCATTGCTTATTGCAGATGATCAGCTGATGGAGCACTGACTTTCTTGCAGCAGTAATGGGGCTGGAAAGTTTGGAAATCAGGCTTTGCTTATTGCAGGTGATCAGCTGATGGAGCACTGACTTTCTTGCGGCAGTAATGGGGCTGGAAAGCTTGTAAATCAGGCATTGCTTATTGCAGATGATCAGCTGATGGAGCACTGACTTTCTTGCAGCAGTAATGGGGCTGGAAAGTTTGGAAATCAGGATTTGCTTATTGCAGGTGATCAACTGATGGATCACTGACTTTCTTGCAGCAGTAATGGGGCTGGAAAGTTTGGAAATCAGGCTTTGCTTATTGCAGGTGATCAACTGATGGATCACTGACTTTCTTGCAGCAGTAATGGGGCTGGAAAGTAAACTCCTATGAAAAAAATGCATAATTATTATTATTAGTGTCCCTTTAATTTGACTTCATAGAGTGGTAATTTATGATATTATACATTTGTGTGCCTCACCTAATATATTTTTTATTGTTTGTACACTATTATTTTTTTTTATTTTTTATTTTTGTCATGCATAGAATAATTACAAACTGGCTCCAGGTACCCAAACGGCATTCCTCGAGCTGCTTGGCATAGATAACAAATAGGGTAGTTACTAAGCAGTGCACATTTTTTGGTATAATAGGTACAGGATTTGGTTACTTGTGGGAACTATGCTCTGTTTATTAGTTGCTGGATACATGCTTTAGATGTGAGAATGAAAATGTCACCCCTTAAGCCCCTGTAGCTACACATTAGTAATGCAAGTCAGGCTGGAGTATTAGGACAGGTAAAATTGTTGCCATGATTTCACCAGGACGAGTTATGGTTAATGAGGTCATGTTCAGATAGTCCCCTTGTGTCTCTGTTTAGCTTATGCCTTCCGGCAGTCTGCCTGTGTTGCGACTCCCACGGGGTCGGTTGGTAGGTGCTGGCGACAGTCTGGGAGTGGTGTGCGGCATCTGACTCGATGGATCCAGACTGGAGAGCGGCATGTTGCGGGGTGAGGGTTATTGGTCTCTGCTGTTGGGCGAGCGCTGGTCTGCTGTGCCCCCTCCGCCGACGGTTGCCGGTCCGTCTCCCCAACGGAGCCCAGAGCTTATGACGAGGCTCCAGAGGTAGGTGTCCTGTAAGGTTGCCAGGATGTGAGCTTGTCGTTGGTCATTGTGGGTGTCAGAGTTATTGATGCTTCTAATCCGCGTTGGTTGAGGCTGATGTGGGGAGGACCGCTTCCTTGCATTCTGTTCTTGGTGCTGTTACACGCGGCCTCTGCCATCTTAGATGTATCACCTGGGTTGCGGGTTGATTTGGCAATGTTGCTAGGCCTTATTCGCTTTGTGGAGGTCGGGACATCAGGGTGAGGACTGGGATTACCCCCACTGGTCCAGAGGGGGGTCAGAGCCGGTTCCTGTAGGGTCTGAGCCCTTGGCTGGGCACCTTTAGGCGGGATAGTGGGGCAGTGGCCGTCCGCTCCATTCACCGCCGGAGTAGGCCTCAACCGTGGTAGTGAAGATTCCTCCTCCAGGGGACTAATACTTGGTGAGCCAGCCTCAGCCTG